TGGTCAGATGTAGGACTGGAATCATCTCTTGGTTGCATTTCTTAGACTCTTAACCTATACCTTAAACTGTCCCTGCATGACAAAAATTTGAAGCTGGCAGCCTCTGACTGCTGACTCCCTTTAACATTCTCAGTCTTTCTTCTGTTTATCTTAATGCAAAAAAAAAAATTGGAAAAAAGCTGCTGCTTTTTTTCCATTTGCAGGAGTATGAGGCAGTCACCCTCAGCTCCAGACCCCTGTCTGGACAGCAGATGGCCAGCCCTGGACAGTGCACAGCAGGCGTGCAATGCATTGCAGAAGCTCAGCTCCTCAAGTCAAGAGGGCAGCTTAGTGAGAGAGCATTTCAGATGTTACCCACCATGGTCCTCCTAGGGAACACTTTGTTCTGTCCCAGAAGGGAGTGTTTGGGCACCCTCTGGTGGGACTCTGAGATTTCACCCTGTGATGTTTGAGTCCAGCAGAATTGGAGCTTGTTGGTCTCACGGTGCTCTCTGGAAGCCCATCTGTGCTACCAGTGTGGGTACTGTTCACATGCTGACAGGTTCCTAGGGGATTAATACCATATATTTGCAGTGCGCCGCAGCTCACTAGGCTAATCCTCCGCCTTGCGGCGCCGGCACACCCAGTTCTAGTTCTGGTTGGAGCGCCGGATTCTGTCCTGGTTGCCCCTCTTCCAGCCAGCTCTCTGCTGTGGCCAGGGAGTGCAGTGGAGGATGGCCCGAGTACTTGGGCCCTGCACCCCATGGGAAACCAGGATAAGTACCTGGCTCCTGCCATCGGATCAGCGTGGTGCGCCGGCCGCAGTGCGCTGGCCGCGGCGGCCATTGGAGGGTGAACCAATGGCAAAGGAAGACCTTTCTCTCTGTCTCTCTCTCTCACTGTCCACTCAACCTGTCAAAAATAAATAAATAAATTAATTAATTAAAAAAAAAAAACAAAAAATACCATATATTTGCTTGCCTGTTACTGTTGCAATGTCTCCTGTGGCCTGGTTGGTCATTGCCTGCTACAAATCAAAATACTCTCCACCCTGGCTGGGCTGTGTTCTGTAGCGGTGGATACTTAACCACAGCTTGATCCTTGAGACTCTACGATCCTTTTAGTTATGCCTTTTAGTGTTGGGAGTATTATACAAGTGGTGATGCAAGGAAATCTGTATCCTTAAATTCTCCTGCCGTAGGTATACAGCCACATGGAGATCCTAAAAATTTCTTGGTGCTATGAAAATACCCAAAACTTTGTTTTCAGATTCTCTCTCCATCTTTTTGTTTCCTTTTATTTCTGGTTCTTTTTGTACACTTAAAAAATTGTTAAGAGCTCTTTTTATACTCTTCACTGCTTCCCCCATCTCCTTCCTTCCCACTGATCTTAAGAGTCAGGTGATCTGATTGCTGTACCCACTTCTGTGTTTAAAACAGAGAATCCTGGGCAAATCGCTTCAACTTGCCATTGGAAATAATAAGTAACACCAACCTTGCTAGTTTACAAAAGTGGTTAGAACTAAGATTGAGTAGAGCAATATCTAAATGTCTTTTGGAAACAATGTAGATTTATGCGCATTTAACATGGTAATATTATTTCACTACCTGGTTTGAGTTGCATTAATTATAGCCATAATGAATTGCTTTTGCACATAAAGTGGAAATGTGATAATCTTTCTGTTGTGCAAGGCAAAGAAATAGTAATGATTAATGTTTATTATTTATTACGAAGAAAGGCTTGGAAAGATTCAATCACTTATTGAAATTGATATATGAGTGACAGAAACAGGATTGGAACCCAGATTGCCAGCTCCACACTTTACATGCTAATAGCTGCTGGCCTCTTTCGAGTTTGAAGGAAAAGTGCTTTTCAGGTTCTGAGAGATTTTTGTTACTTTTTCCTCTGGTATACCAGCAGACAGTCAGCTGTTCTACAAAGGTTTTATTTTCTAATAACCTGTGAGTGTTAGCTTTATCTGGAAGGGATTCTACTATTACCATTAAAAACGTTTTTTTTTTTTTTTTTTTTTTTGACAGGCAGAGTGGACAGTGAGAGAGAGAGACAGAGAGAGAAAGGTCTTCCTTTGCCGTTGGTTCACCCTCCAATGGCCGCCGCTGCAGCCGGCGCACCGCGCTGATCCTGGCAGGAGCCAGGAGCCAGGTGCTTTTCCTGGTCTCCCATGGGGTGCAGGGCCCAAGCACCTGGGCCATCCTCCACTGCACTCCCTGGCCATAGCAGAGAGCTGGCCTGGAAGAGGGGCAACCGGGACAGAATCCGGCGCCCCAACCGGGACTAGAACCCGGTGTGCCGGCGCCGCAAGGTGGAGGATTAGCCTATTGAGCCACGGCGCCGGCTAAAAACGTTTATTATAGAATATCTGAACTTCAGTGTCTGACTTGTTTTCGGTTGTAGCACTTAGCCAAGTGACAGACCTGGGCAGGTTACCTTGAAACTCTGATTTTTCTCCTTTAAAATGAAGCTAGTCCTTGCTCCTTCATGGCCTGTTGGAAGGATGGAGGAGCTGATGCATGCTGGGCACTTAGAAAGGCCTTGTTTGAAATAGGTTACTCAGCAAATGCTGGTGGGCTCCTTTTCCTTGGCAAAGTGAACATTTCTCCTTTTTATTTTTTTTAAGATTTATTTATTTACTTGAAAGGAAAAGTGAGAGAGACAGAGAGAGAGAGAGAGAGAGAGAGAGAAAGGGAGAAAAATCTTCTATCTGTTAGTTCACTGTCCAGATGACTGCAATGCCTGAAACTGGGCCAGGCTGAAACCAGGAGCCTGAATTTCCAGCTGAGTCTCCCATGGGGGTGCAGGGGCCCACGCACTTGGGCCATCTTCCTCTGCTTTTCCACGTACATTAGCAGGGAGCTGGATTGGAAGTGCAGCAGCAGAACTTCAACCAATATTCTTACGAGATGCTAAAGTTGCAGGCAGCTGCTTAATTCACTGCCCCACAATGCCAGCCTCCCTCTATCTTTTTTTTTTAGATTTATTTATTTATTTATTTGAAAGGCAGAGTTAGAGAGAAAGAGAGAGAGAGAGAGAGAGAGAGAAAGTCTTCCATCCGCTGGTTCATTCCCCAAATGGCTGCAATGGATGGAGCTGCACCGATCTGAAGCCAGGGGCCAGGAGCTTCTTCCAGGTCTCCCACACAGGTGCAGGGACCCAATGATTTGGGCCATCTTCTACTGCTTTCCCAGGCCATAGTAGAGAGCTGGATCTGAAGTGGAACAGCTGGGACAAACTGGTGTCCATATGGGATGCTGGCACCACAGGTGGCAGCCTTACCTGCTGTGCTACAGCACCGGCCCCTGTCTGTTTTCAGTAATCTTGGAGATCTGTAGTTCTGACTTAGAAGTGGATCTTATGGGCTCTGTGAAGCAGCCCTTCCCTTCACTTCCCCAGAATGTTGATCCTTGTTCTGAACTCTGAACTCTGCAGAGCCACCTGCCCAGGACACTGGACTTCCTAGGATCTTGGAGAGAAAGAAATTCCACAGTACCATGTAGTTCCTTTTAGAAGCTTTTTGTAAAGATCCATTTTTCCAATAGGTGAAAATCTTATTTTCTATTGGTCTATTGCACTTGCCACAAAAGACTTAACAAATAAGTAATCAGAATTCTTTGGCTGTGGCTAAAGTTGGTTTTCTTAGGGGACACTGGGACCCAAAAAAAAAAAATCATTTGAGAGACAGAGTGCACCTGTTTACTAGTTCACTCTCCAGATGCCATGTAAGCTGGCCAAAACTGGGAGCCAGGAACTCAGTCCAGGTATTCCATGTGAGTGGAAGAACCTCAACTACTTCAGCTGTCTCTGCTGCCTCTTAGGGTTTACATGAGCAGGACATTGGAATCGGGAGCAGAGGCAGGACTCGAACCTAGGGTCTTCAGTATGGGATGCAGACGTCTTAATCACTAGGCCAAATGATTACCTTTGTCCATTTTTTTTTTTGACAGGCAGAGTGGACAGTGAGAGAGAGAGACAGAGAGAAAGGTCTTCCTTTACCGTTGGTTCAACCTCCAATGGCCGCCATGGCCAGTGCGCTGTGCCCGGCGCACTGCGCCGATCTGAAGCCAGGAGCCAGGTGCTTTTCCTGGTCTCCCATGCAGGTGCAGGGCCCAAGGACTTGGGCCATCCTCCACTGCACTCCCGGGCCACAGTAGAGAGCTGGACTGGAAGAGGGGCAACCGGGACAGAATCCGGCGCCCTGACCGGGACTAGAACCCGGTGTGCCGGAGCCGCAGGTGGAGGATTAGCCTAGTGATCGGCGGCACTGGCCACCTTTGTCCATTTTTGGTCAGAGCCTGGATCTTTTACTTATTTGTTTTCCTACTTCTTGCAGGAGTGGATAGGTAGTCCGGATCATTGCTGCCTTATGTCTCTACTCCTTTGAAGTGCAGTTAGCAGGAAGGTACTTCATGTAAATGACTTCTGGAATTCACTTCTCTGATGGCAGTGAGAAATAAGTAGGAATGGAATTGCAGATTTGGCATTCTCCATGGGTGGGCTGTGTGGCCTTGAGCAAGTTACTTCACCTCTCTGGTCTTGATTTCCTGGTCTATGAGTGGGGAGGTATTAGGACTCCATGATCTCAGAAGTTCTTTTTCAGCTTAAAACTTCAGCATTTCTAGGGCCAGTGCTGTGGTGTAGCAGGTTAAACCACCATCTACAGTGCCTTCATCCCATGTGAGTGCCTGTTCATATCCCAGGTGTTCTACTTCCAATTCAGCTGCCTGCTAATGTGTCTGGGCCCCTGCACCCATGTGCAAGACCTGGAAGAAACTCCTAGCTCTTGGCTTTGGTCTGGCCCAGCCCTGGCTGTCTGCAGAGTGAAACACTGGATGGAAGCTCTCTCTCTGTATCTCCTTCTCTCTCTCTGTCACTCTGCCTTTCAAATAAATAAAACAAATCTTTTTTTTTTAAAGCTTTGGCGTTTCTACATAATAACCCTGCAAGATTACATTTATTGTATGTTCTGCATGATGGCTAAAGGATCATCTGTTCATTTGTTACAGATTTTTGGTTGCCTTATTGTTTGAAGACTCTCCAGCTGCTCTGATGGTAGCTTAAGAAGACCGCACGCTGTTGCCGCCCCATGCCCAGCCAGGCCCACTCAGAACCTTGGATCTCTCTCCTTCATGGATACCAGGTCCCAGCAGGAATGGCAGGGCTGGAAATTGGCACCCCGATGGTTCCTCTGCGGGAAGTTGTCTTAGGCAATGGGCTGATGCGAGAACACCTGGTGCCCAGCCTGGCCCCCTGTCAGTCACCCAGGGCAGGGCAGCATGGTGCGGGTTCAGAGGAGGAAGCTGCTGGCATCTTGCTTGTGTGTCGCCGCGACCGTCTTTCTGCTTGTCACACTCCAGGTACGAAGAGTTTGGGTTGCAGGGCATACGATTCTAGCTTTTGCCATCTCTCTACCGTTCCCTAACTCCATTCTCTCAGAGCTCCAAGTACTTTTTGCTTAATCTTTCAAGATAAGGGGTTTTCTATGTCTTAAGTAGGGGAAATCACTTTAAAAAGATGAATTTGAGGTTTAGTGATTGAGTGAGCCGGGTAGAAACTGAGTCGTTGAGCTAGGCGGTCAGCGTAGGGTCCTGGTGTCAGTGTAGGGTCAGCCTGCAGGGTCCTGGTGTCAGGGAGATAGAAAAGTAAAGCTTGGTCTGCCAGGGCCAGCAGACTAAGCCACAGTGTGCAGTGCCGGCATCCCATATCCCAAGTGCTGGTTCTGGTCTCCATTGCGGCATTTGCAATCCTGCTCCCTGCCAATGCTACTGGGAAGGCAGCGGAAGGTGCCCCAAGTGTTTGGGCCCGTGCCACCCACATGGGAGATCCGGATGCATTTCCTGGCTCCTGGCTTCAACCTGAATCAGTCCTGACCATCGTGGCCATTTGGGGAGTGAACTGGTGGAGGGAAGATCTCTCTCTCTCTCTCTCTCTTTCTCTCTTTCTCTGTCTCTCTCTCTGTCACTCTGCCTCAAAAATAAATAAAACTTATTTAAAAAAAAGCTCACTCTGTCTTCCTGGGTCAAAGTTGGATGGCTTCACTACTCTCCCGTCATTACCTGCGTTGAATAAGCAAAGGCTGTTCTGAGAACAAGGCAGTGTGGCCCTGCAGGAAGTGTGGGATATTTCTGCGTGCATGAGTTTCCTCACAGCTGCAGCTACACCAAGGACTGTGTTGGGGGGAGATGAAGGTGAAAGGTTTCTTTACTCCTCGGCTTGTTTCTGTTTGTCAGTTACTCTGAGTTTCCTTTGCAGAGTTTGAATTAAAATGAAAATTGAACAGTGTTGTGGTTTGGCTGTGTCTGAGGGTGTGCTCCTGAGGTTCTTGTGCTTGGCCCCAAGCATAGCAATGCTGAGGGGGTGCAGCCTGTAAGAGGCAGGGCCGAGTGGCAGGTGATTAAGTCACTGGAAGAGATGGATGTGGCTCTCAGGGAACCCCAGTCAGTTCCCAGGAGAGCAAGTTGTGATGAAAAGACTAAGCCTGGCCCCTCAGTCTCTGTGGCTTCCTTTCTTGCCATGTGGCTTCTCTCTCCCTCTTGCACACTTCCCACTTGGATGCATCTACTACGTTGTGATGCAGCCACCAAAGGCCAAAAGCATTGGTGTCGCTGGACATTGTACTTTGGGCCTCTTAAGACTGTGAGCTAAACAAACCTCTCTATTTCAAGTCTCCAACCTCAGGTATTTTGTTACAGCAACAGAGAAGTACTGATTCATTCCAGGGTAGTAGAAGCACAGCTCTGAGCTCGGGTGTATTTTACACCCACGCAGATGCTAAGCTGTTGGCTTAAAATCTGAGTGACTTTTAAAGATTGTTTATGGATGTGAGTAGTTCAGATGTGGGAGTGGTGCAAACGTGGGTGTTTTCTGGGTGTCTGGACCCTGCAGGCTCTCCTGTCTCCTGGTTGGGGTTGAAGGAGACGATGCTTACAAAAACACTGTGGTGCAAATCTGGTGCCCTGCTTCTGCCGCCTTCTGCTGCCAGATTGGGATTCTGCTCAGAGGAAACCTCTGACTGCTTTCTTGTCCGTCTTGTCCAGGACCTGCTGGGCAGGAGGGGCTGCAGGGTTCTCCTCCACTCTCTGCAAAGTTACGAGAGGGCTTTGATCTTCCAAGGCATTGACTGGGGCTCTTCTTCCAGTCATGAGGAATGCCTGCCTCGAAGCTAAGAATTTTCCTTTGGATGTCAGAATAAATTTTTTTAAAAGATTTATTTATTTATTTGAAAGGCAGAGTTACTGAGAGGCAGAGAGATCTTCCATCTGCTGGTTCACTCCCCAATTGGCTGCAACATCTGGAACTGCACCATTCTGAAGCCAGGAGCTTCTTCTGGGTCTTCCATGTGGGTGCAGGGGCCCAAGCACTTGGACCATCTTCTTCTATTTTCCCAGCACATTAGCAGGGAGATGGATGGGAAGTGGAGCAACCAGGACTCAAAGCGGTGCCCATATGGGATGCCAGCACTGCAGACAGCAGCTTTACCTGCTATGCCACGGCACCAGCCCTCAGAATAAATTGCCAGGTGTTGGATGTGCATGTCACTTGTCAGTGTCCAGAGCGTGTGCGGTGGTCTGACGGCTGGAGCCAAACCCTCATCCTCTCTCTGTTGGTTTGGGCTATTTCCCAGTCCTCATTGCAGGCTTCAGTGTTCACTGCGGTGGTAATACCATTAAAAAAAAACACCATAAACGAAACCCATAGAGTGCTGTTCATTCAGAACTATTCTTGTGTGTACTGGTTTCTAGGCTAGGCAGATTTGAAATGATTTCCTTTGTAAGTATGGTAGATGAAGGATAAATAAAAAATAATGAGATCTTGTATCAGCCTTTCCAGACTGCTGAAGCAAGGTGTTAGAAGGCTAGATGCCTTAACAACAGAGATGTAATGCCTTACTGTTGAGCAAGCTTACTTCCTCTGAGGTCCCTAGCTTGTAGCTGGCTCCCCCCAGGCCTTCCCAAACTCCTTCTGTCCTTGTCTGTGTCCAGATCTCACCCTTTTTATGAGGACACCCATCATGCTGGGTTGGCCCACCCTAGTGATGTTATTTTAACTTAACTACCTCTTTTTAAAAAATATTTATTTATTTGAAAGGCAGAGTTACACAAAGAGAAAGCAAGAGAGGGAGAGATATTCCATCTTCTGTTTTACTCCCCAGATGTCACAATGGCTGGAGCTGGGCTGGTCTGGAGGCAGGAGCTCCTTCCCGGTTTCCCACATGGATGCAGGGGCCCAAGCATTTGGGCCATCTTCCATTGCCTTCCCAAGGAGATTAGCAGGGAGCTGGATCAGCAGTGGGGTAGCTGGGACTTGAACCGGCACCATAGGTGGCAGCTTTACCTGCTGCATGCCACAGCGCCAGCCCCAACTTAATTACCTCTTTAAGATCCTTTTTTCCAAACATAGTCATGTTCTAAGGTACTGGGACTTAGGACTTTAACAAACAACTGTTTGGGATCACAGTTCAGCCCCACAGGTTCTAAAATAAAGTATTTCATTAAGTATTATCTAGATGTGAAAACGTTATGCCTACCTACCGGTCAGTTAAAACACTGCAATTCTCAGAGGAAATCATTCATCTAAGACCTTGTTTTCCATTTACACGTAACTATGCAAGTGTTTTGTATGTATGATTATTGTCCATGTAAATTCTTTGGGTGTACATGCATCTCTATTTTTGAATTTTATTTACTTTCCAGTTACACAAATAATTCATAAATACATCTGGAGTATTTTAAAAGCAAATCCTGGACATCATATCATTTTACCTGGATATATGTTAGTATGATTCTCTAATAGATAGGAACTTACACAAATTTACTATAACAACGTTACTACTATACCACAATAAAATGAATAGCAGTTATTCAGAACCTTCTACATCCTAGGCCTTGTGAAATTTTTCCTGATTGTCTCAAGAAAGTCTTTGTAGTAGGTGCAGTTGTATCTGGAATGATTAAATCCTATACATTTGCATTCCTTGTATATCTCAGGGTGTGTGTGTGTGTGTGTGTGTTGTAGTTGTTTTCTGTAAACATTTCTTTTGCCCCACCTTTTACTCCCGGTCACGGGTTTGTTGAAGAAACTGAATCCTTTTGAGTCTCCTAGGTTGTGGCTTTGGCTGAGTTTTACCTTGATGGTTCTGTTTAATATGTCTCTGTCTGCCATACTTACCACAACCTAGCAGCAGTATCTGAGGTTAAATACTTTTTAAAAAGCTGTTTGAAGAAAAACTCTTCCTTAAAACGATCCCTTGTTATTTGTAAGTGATCTTAGGCCTCACTCAGAAGTGTAGAACAGAGTTCACTTTTGAAGTTACATCCCCTGGCTTTCTAAAAGCCCTTCTTTCAAGTTGCTAGTTGGACGATAGAAGGGGAAACTTGGTTGAAAAGATAGTTTGGGGTTAGAAGTCAGCTTCATTCCAGGAAGCCACTGGGGAAGAATCACATCATTGTATTGTAGAAGAACTGAGAACGCAGTTGGCAAAGGGGACACCTCAGTTTTCAGTGACTGTTTTTCTGCCCTAATGCTGCCTTGGATGTCACAGGCAAACTCTATTTTTTTTTAAAGCGAATGTAATTTCTTATTCCTATTGGAGTACCACTTGGTTTTTACTTAGTAATTTCTTCTTTTTCCCTTTTTTTTTTAAAGAGAATTATTTATTTATTTGGAAGGCAGAACAATGAGTTAAGGGAGAATGCGATAATAATGATAGTAATAATAATAATAATGATAATGATGATAATAATACTAATCCTCTGGTTTATTCCCCCAGATAGGCTGCAGTGGCCCCAGCTAAGTCAGTCTAAAGCTAGGTGCCAGGTCTCTCATGTGGGAGGGCAGGGCCCAGCACTTTCCCTAGCACGTTAGCAGGGAGCTGGATTGGAAACACAGTAGCCAGGACTTGAACTGGCACTCTGATATGGGATTCCAGATATTACGAGAGGCAGCTTAACTCAGTGAACCACAACGCTGGCCCCTCCATATCAAAATTTTTTTATAGAATTATTTTATTTATTTGAAAGGCAGAGCTATAGAGAGAGGGAAAGACACAGAAAAAGAGATCTTCCATCTGCTGATTCACATATCAAATGGTGGCGGCTGGGCCAGGTCAAAACTAGGAGCCTAGAACTCCATCCAGGTCTCCCCCATGAGTGGCAGGGGCCCAAGCAATTGGGCCATCTTCTGCTGCTTTCCCTGATGCATGAGTAAGGAGCTGGATTGGAAACAGAGCAGCCGTGACTTGAACAGTTGTTCAGATATGAGATGCAGGTGTCACAGGTGGCAGCTCAACTCTCTGTACCACAGCGCCAGCCCCATCATCAGATTTTTTTTTTTTTTTTGGACAGGCAGAGTGGACAGTGAGAGAGAGAGACAGAGAGAAAGGTCTTCCTTTTGCCGTTGGTTCACCCTCTAATAGCTGCCGCGGCCGGCGCATTGCGCTGATCCGAAGGCAGGAGCCAGGTACTTCTCCTGGTCTCCCATGGGGTGCAGGGCCCAAGCACTTGGGCCATCCTCCACTGCACTCCCTGGCCACAGCAGAGAGCTGGACTGGAAGAGGGGCAACCAGGACAGAATCTGGCGCGCCGGCGCCACAAGGCGGAGGATTAGCCTAGTGAGCCACGGCGCCGGCCCCCATCATCACATCCTAAAGTGTGGTGAAAAGGCAGCCCTTTTGAGAACTTTGCACTGCACCTGCCCTGCCTTTCAGGTGATTGTTGCTGACGGCCTGGCTGTCCAATGCCCCAGAATTAGACTATCCTGGAACTAATAAAATAAACATGGTTGTAAATGGAAGGGAGTGGAAGCCCACTGCTATGGGTCTGCTATGCCGGTCACACGGATTTGGGGGAGTTTTGTCTTTGGCTGTTACTTTGCAGTCTCAATGAGATAGTAGGTGTAATTAGACATACAGCATCCACGTTGTGACTCCTTTAGTTAGAAAAAGAAGCCAGCTGCTACTTTAGAACTGATTTTCCCTAGAGTCGAGTCTCTGGTCGTTGTCAGGGAATAACTCCAACACAGGTTTCATTAAGAAACACAGCTATTTCTGGAAACTATATATGCTCATGAGATGGAGGAGTTTGTTTGGTAGAATTATTAAACATGCTTGTTGGTAGATATCTTGGAGGCAGTGTCCACGCCCTAATCCCACGAACCTATGGAATACGTTACTGTTCATAGCAAAGGGGCTTTGCAGGTGGGATTCGCGTGAGTCCCCTTGAGATGGGAGATGTTATGGTTTGAATGTGGTTCCCAAAGTTCATGGGTTGGAAACTGAACCCTCAGCGCAACTGTGTTGAGCGGTGGGAACATTAAGAGGTGGTGGGGTCTGGAGAGCTGTGCTCCCAGGGGTGGGTCAGTGTCATTCATCAATGCAGTGGGTTCCGGACAAAAGGATGCGTTCTGCCCACTCTGTCCCTCTTTTTCTTTCATACTCTCCTGCCCTTCTGCCGTGGGATGTTGTAGCAGAAAGGCCCTTGCCAGATGTGGGCCCCTTGGCCTTGAACTTCCCAGCCTCTAGAACAGAAGAAATATGAGTAAATTTTTTTCAATGAATCACTCCGTGTAGAGGGCTTTGTTATAGCTGGCCAAGATGGACGGAGACAGGACATCATTCTGAGTTATTTCTCTGGGCCCAGGGTAATCACCAGAGTCCTTACAAGTAGAGGAAAGGGCTGGCGTTCTGCTGCAGCCGGTTAAACTGCCGCTTGAAATACCGGCGTTTCATATCCGAGCCCTGGTTCCAGTCCTGGCTGCCCCACTTCCAGTTCAGCTCCCTGCTAGTGTACCTGGGAAGAGCAGGGGAATGTGGCTCAAGTGCTTAGGTCCCTGCCAGCCACATGGGAGGCCCAGAAGGAGTTCCTGGTTCTTGGCTTTGGTCTGGCCCAGCCCCAGTTTTTGCCATCATCTGGGGAGTAAACCAGTGGATGGAAGATCTCTATCTGCCTCTGTCACTCTACCTTTCAAATAAACAAAATAAATCTTAAAAAATAAATAAATAAAAAAGGAGAAAGCCTTTCCTGCCTCTGGTCAGAGAGATGCAATGTTGCTAAATTTGAAGATGGAAGGGAAGGTCCAGGAGCCTGGAATTATGGTGGGCTCTTAAAAAAAAAAGAAAAAAAGAAAATGGATTCTCCCCTGGAGTCTCTGGGAGGGAACTCAGCCCTGCTGATCCTCTAATTCTGTCCCACTGAGGCCATTTCAGACTTCCACCTCCGGAACTGCGCAGTGATGAATGTGTGTTGTTTTAAATCACTGAGTTCATGGTAATTTGTTACAGCAGCAAGAGGAAACTAATAATGAGACGCTCAGTCCCCAAGATGAATGGGAGATGTGCAAAAGGAAATTAAACCGTCTGACTCTGATAATCGTCTTCCTCTCTTTTAGGTGGTGGTGGAGCTGGGGAAATTTGAAAGCAAGAAGTTTAAAAATCCCAAGTTGCAAGACGGACATGTGGAAATGGAGGAAGAGCCTGAACACCTCCATCCATTCCTCAAGAAAGAAGAACTGACCTTGACTCGGACAAATAAAGTGGAGGTGGATGGCTTCCCGGTCATGCTCTGGTGGACCCCACTGACTGGGGAGGCAGGGCGGCTGGGCCAGTGTGGGGCGGACGCCTGCTTCTTCACCGTCAACCGGACCTACGTGGATCACCCCATGACCAAGGCGTTCCTCTTCTACGGTAAGCAGCGTGTCTGCTTTCCCTCCTCCTCCAAAGCCGAGTTGCTGCTGCCTCCCAGGAAAGAGGTGGTGGGCGCCCCTTGAAGACCCTGTGTCTGCTCAGTGGAAGGCCTGAGCATTCAGCTAATGCAGCAAACCAACAAGCCTGACTCGCATAGAGGGGGATGGCTGGGCCCCTTCGTATTTACAGGGAGAGTGAGGTGCTGCTTCTCACTTTTCCACGGTTAGGTGCTGTGCACGGTGAATTTGATGTTCAGGGAATGGAGTGTTGCATACACCGCTCAGATAACTTGGAACTTCACTTGGTGCTTTGGATTACCATGGCAGATGTCGAATTGGACATAAGCCAAGCTTGATGCTCTTTATGTCTTGGATGTCAGGTTAATCAGAAATAAAAATAAACAGGGTATTCAGCTTCAGTTTTTCAAGAGCAAGTTGGTACTCATCCCTCTTGAAGCCGTTTGTGTGTTGTGCAGGGATTGCAAGGCAAGTGAAGCCAGACAGGTGGAGTTGGCAGTGTGCCAGTGGCAGTTAGAAAGATGGGGGGCGGGGCCGGCGCCGCGGCTCAATAGGCTAATCCTCCGCCTTGCAGCGCCGGCACACCGGGTTCTAGTCCCTGTCGGGGTGCCGGATTCCGTCCCCGTTGCCTCCCTTCCAGTCCAGCTCTCTGCTGTGGCCCAGGAATGCAGTGGAGGATGGTCCAGGTCCTTGGGCCCTGCACCCGCATGGGAAACCAGGAGAAGCACCTGGCTCCTGCCATCGGATCAGCGCGGTGCGCAGGCTGCAGCGCGCCGGCCGCAGCGGCCATTGGAGGGTGAACCAACGGCAAAGGAAGACCTTTCTTTCTGTCTCTCTGTCTCTCTCTCTCTCTCTCTCACTCTGCCTGTCAAAAATAAAAAAATAAATACATAAATAAAAAAAAAAGAAAGATGGGGGGCGGGCAGTGCTGTGGTGCAGCAGGTTAAAACCCTGGCCTGAAGCACTGGCCTCCCACATGGGCACTGGTTCAAGTCCTGGCTGCTCCACTTTCGATCCAGCTCTCTGCTATTGCCTGGGAAAGCAGTAGAAGATGGCCCAAGTCCTTGGGCCCCTGCAGTCGTGTGGGAGACCCGGAAGAAGCTCCTGGCTCCTGGCTTTGGATCAGCTCAGCTCCAGCTGTTGGGGCCATCTGGGGAGTGAACCAGCAGATGGAAGACCTCTTTTTCTGTCTCTACCTCTCTCTGTAATTCTGTCTTTCAAATACATAAAATAAATCTTTAAAAAAAATGAAAGACATGGCTCCTGGAAGCTGAGTGATGGGGGCGAGTTGGCACACATTAGTCAACTGAGTAAATACAGGCAAGATCGGTGAAGGACAGCATGCTTTAGAGTGGGTATGGGTGTGTATATTTGTGTGTAAGCCTAGTGCTGGCTTTGGAGGCGGAACTGAAGCTGTGATACAGAGCTGAGTCATGCTCAGGGTTCTGCCTCATAACAGCTCACATGAAGCAGAGAAGGAATGAGGTGGTCTATATGTCCACAAGCTGGCCAGGGCTGCAGAGCAGTGGGCAGGGGCTGGTAAGCATTCAGGGATGTTTTAGCTACTTAAAAATCTAGACAAGCTCCAGGTACTTAAAACTCCAGATCCTGGCCAAGTTGCCCAAAGGCCTGCTGGTCCACTTGCTTTGCACCTCTGTTCTGGAAAGGAACCCACATAACTCTGAGGGTGAGTCGTTCTTTGTCCAGAGAGGAGAGCAACAGCCCGAGTAGTGCCCACTGCTGATTTTGACATCATTTGGTCCCAGATCCCCCTGAAGGTGTAACATTGCAGCTGATGGTATTGTATTCAGACACCCTACTAAAATGCTCAATAATCTGATTTTTTTAAGATTTATTTTTTATTTACTTGAAAGGCAGAGTTAGAGAGAGAGGGGGAGAGAGAGAGACAGAGATATCGTCCGTCTCCTGGTTCACTCCCCAAATGGCTGCAAAGGCCAGGGCTTTGTTAGGCTGAAGCCAGGAGCCAGGAGCTTCATCTGGGTCTCCCATGTGGGTGGCAGGGGCCCAAACACTTGGGATATCTTCTGCTACTTTCCTAGGGGTGTTATCAGGGAGGTGGATCAGAAATGGAGCAACTAGGACTTGAACTGGCACCCATATGGGATGCTGGTGTTGCAGGTGGTAGCTTAACCTAATATGCCAGAATGCTGGTCCTTTTTTTTTTTAATGCTTGTATAACTCAATAAACTTTAAAAATATTTAAATGATAGCACTGTGATACGACCACTTTGGATGTTGGTTTGACAATATCTAATAATTGAATGCATGGAAAATAATCCCAATACTAGGTGTATAACCTCATGAAATCTCACACTTTACTTGGATTGCTTATATTATTATTATTATCACTAACCATAAATAAGGCTTTTAAAGTAACCAAAGTGCCCAGCAGTGAGAAAATGGTTGAATGAAGTACAATATAAAATGCAATGGAATACTGCACATGGTGAAAATGGACAAACTAGAGCAATGAGCCTGCGACTTTGATAAATCTCAAAAACCAAAGTGGCAATAGAAAGTCACCATATCACATAAGTGTGCAGCTTTCAGATGTGCAAAGGTATGTGTTGTTTATGGTCATGTCAGGAATCTCTAGGAGGAATTTGTTTGAGAATATCTGCTGCTACTCCAGGGAAACCAACAAGGTGTGCACACACACACACGTATACACATATACATGCACACACACAAACCTGCCACACATCCTCATCCTTTGTGAGTAGTGTGTGCAGTGTGCGGTTCTGCTCCCCTTTTCCCTCTCCAGAAGAGTACAGAATCTTTTCTTTCTCACCAGTTTGGGAGTTTAGTAATGATTGCTTGGGTGTCTCGTTCCTTTTAGTGTGGTGGCAATGCAAACGACTTGCTGCCCACACAGTATTCGACACAGTGACTTTTCCAGTACTCGCAGAGCTACAGGTTCCTGCACTTAATGTTGTCAATATACTGGAGATTGATTTTTCTCTCAGGGATGGACTCATCTCCAGCCAAGTTCTCGGGAGACTGGCGTGTCAGCCACAATGCTCTGGTGTGTTCTTAGACTTCAGAGCCTCTCACTCTCCAGTGTGCCAGGCCACCGGCGAATCTCACTGAGAACGGGATCTGTGCCATGTGTGTAGCTTGGCATTGGAGGCTCTGTGTAATCTTACTGCCACCTGCCTACCAAGCTTACCCTCTGATTCTGCCAGCTAAACCTTATGTGCACAAGTCAAAGTGGAATAGTTGCCGTTTGAGGCTTCTTAACCTAGCACCATTGTTCACTCCGTTTCTATGTCCCAGAGTATGCTTTTGGTCTTTGCCCTGTCAGAATAATCTGCTGAACCATTTGTTTTGACGATGAGATGAGGGATATAGTTTCTAATGGCAAAGACATCGCTTGGCTGCAGTACAGGGCTGTATAAGGTATATACTGCAAGGAAAAAGTCAGCAAGTCTTGTGGGGTCTCAGAGATGGGAGAGGGCACACGTGTGGTTGGAGGGATCAGGAAAGGCTTCCTGAGTCCTCCTTCCTAAAGCAGGAGGCACCAGAAGTGGGCCTTGAGGGATCATGGCGTTGGATTGTGGGGGTTGGGAGATGCTGTGGCTTGAAAAAGAGTGAATGGGGACGGGATCTGCAGGGCAGCATGCAGCATGGAGATTGGTGGGCTGTGGCATTTCTCTGTGTAACGCAGACACGGACTGAAGGATATGTTGGGACCAGAGCATGGAGGACCTTGGGTGTTGGCATATGATTTTACATCGGTAGGGAATGGTGTCAGGGAGTCACTCAAAGTAGAAGAGCCTGTGAAAAGTCAACTCGAATATAAGACTTCTGGACCACCCCGATTGCCCGGTCTTCTTGCCAAGCCCACTGGACATTTTTGTCTCTTTTATGTAACTTACTGAGCATCCGCTGTATGCTAGGCGCCATGCCAGTTCTGAGAAGTAGAGAAGATAAAGTAACCGTAGCATCTGGTCTCCTGCTGTCTGTTGGACAGCTTTTCCTCACTGCAGCGAAACACCTGAGGCCACTAACTTTATGAAGAGCAAAAGTCTCTTTAGCTCGTGGTTTTGGGGGTTCCCGTCCAAGAGTGGGCAGCTCCACTGGTCTGGTCTCTGATGAGGGTGATGGGTGGTGCTGTGGGAGTGTGTGCAGAGGAAGGACTGTGTGGCAAGCCAGGAAGCAGAGGCATGAGCTGGGCCTACTCAGGCATTTACAAACCAACCCTTTCCCGAGAGCTATCTTTTGAGGACACGCCCCCAGTGAACTAAGGACCCCCTCTGGGCCCCACCTCCTAAACGCCATCATTGGGTGAAGTTTCCATCCTCATAGTGCATTAATTATGACTTGTGGGGTTTAACGTCCTGCACAAGTTCAAAGCCTTTATCCTATTCAATTGTAGACACTGTAGCATCCATATGGCCTTCTTGTTCTCTGTGATAGAGTGACATCTGTTCATTGTACTTCTTCCCACCCCTAGTATGCAGTGCAGGGCTTTGTACCTGGTGGAGGTGAGACGCCTGATGCTCGGGGGGCCTAGGGGTGTACCAGGGCTGTGCTTAGGCTCTGCTTAGTCAGGGAACCCGACTGGTGCTGTTTCACATAGACCATATTGGAGTAGACACTCATGAGCATAATTAGACCCATTTATTTGGGATTTGGAATTGCGCAAGGTGCCTGGTTTTTAATAAACTGAATTAGAAGTTCTTTTCAGTAATAAGGTCTGTTGAGTAAAACAGAATGGAGACAACATGCTTTTGTGTCTGCTGGTTCCAAATTCTAATTAAGTAGTTCACTTAGACTGCAAATGGGACTCTGGTGCAGCAGGATTGAAAAAGAAAGACAAATGATTGAGGTATCAAAAGCTGACCTAATTGAAAGGAGAGTAAACCTGAAGCTTTGGTAAACCTGAACATTTTTTATTTTGCTTATTATCTTTGTAAGCTACTCTCTTTTTTTTTCTTTCTAGAGGTGATTCATTTATTT